TTTTATGTTTTATTGGGATTTTTTGGGATCTCTGTGTTGATATACAGGGATTTTGTATAGGTATGTTTTATATGTAATTTATATTTATATATAATATATATTTATAGCTTATATTTTGATATAGGTTGTATTATATTTATACAGAAATGCTAATTTATATTTATACTCATACTTACTTATACTTATATTTATAATAGGGATATAAAACAAGAAAAGACCCCCAAAATATATACAGAAAAGGTGTCTGTGAAATTACAAACACAGAATCTGTAAATAAAACACCAGTAATCCACAATCATGTATATAATGTGTATGGATAAATAAAAATAAAAGTTACGTAAAGAACTCTGATACAATCATAATATTATGTATGTTATGTATTATATATAATTTATATATTATATATTATATATTATATAATATATAATATATAATATATAATATATAATATATAATATATAATATATAATATATAATATATAATATATATTATATATAGCATATGCTGTATAGTATATATATAAATGTATAAATTTGTAAAATATATATTATGTAAAATATAAATATTTAAAATATAGAATATATTTAAATATAATTTATATATAAATAAATAAGAAAAATAATATATAAAATATAAACAAACATAAAATATATATATAAAGAGAAATCTATATAAACAAGAGAATATAAAAATACCTGTAATATATAGTAGGATATTATGTAATTTTAGCATATAGAATATTATATAGTGCTGGTTTATTATTATTATTATTATTATTATTATTATTATTATTATTATTATCAATACTACTACTACTACTAATAATAATAATAATTTGTAGCGGGCTTGCATTTTATAAACCATGCCTATATATATTTATACATAGAAAATATGTTTATATGTAAAATAAATATTAAAAAATAAATATAGAAAATTATAAATATAAGGAAATATATATAAAATAAATATCTAAAAATAAATGTATATAAATATAAAATTAAATATTCAACATATATTTATATTTTAAGAAATTTGTATATATATATATAATATATATTATACATATATGAGGGGCTTTTCCTGCCACTCCTGCCCCGGGATTGGGCTGGGATGACCCAAAACTTACTTCCTGTGGAAAGCATGTTTGCAGGGACAGATGCCCAGCTCGTCCTTGGGCTTGAACTCCTCCAGGCACACGGCACAGATCTGCAGGGTGTGGCATGCACAGGGAATGTCAGTGCTCAGGGATAAAACCATGGAATTATGGAATGGTTTGGGCTGGAAAGGACCTTAAAGATCACCCAGTGCCACCCCCTGCCATGGGTAGGGACATTTCCCACTATTCCAGGTTGCTCCAAGCCTGGCCTTGGACACTTCCAGGGATCCAGGGGCAGCCCCAGCTTCTCTGGAACACTTGTGCCAGGCCCACCCCACCCTCACAGGGATGAAATTTCCCCATAAGCCTTCCCAAATTTTTCTGCCCAAGCTCCAGGATCACAGGCTGAGGCTCGGGTCTCCCTTGAGTGCTGGATGTGACCACCAAAGCTGGGATGTGCCGGAGGTTTTAGGGTGCAGGGGATGGATCCACACTGCAGCCTGGTCCCTGGGACTGCCTGCATTCCCTGGGATAGCTCTGGGAAAAGGAAAAGGCAATGGGATTGTTGCCATGCCTGTCCCAGGGCTGGGAAAGCTGGTGGCTCTTTCTTAGCCAAAACCTCCTTCACCGTGGCAGCCAACTCCTCCTGACTTGTTTTGGATATCCCAGGGGATTTTGGATATTCCTGGGTGGTTTTCCTAGCCTGGGATCTCTCAGTGCACCAGGGCCAGGTGCAGCTGTTGGGGTCACCCCCTGAGGAACCCCCAGGGCCTGGGAGGGGCAGAATGATGGAAAAAAAAGGGGAAAACCAGACCCAGAGGCAGGCAGGGAAGAGCTGGGTGGGAGCTTTCCCTCCACAGAGCTCCGGGCAGCCGCCCCGTCATGCTGGAAAATTCCCACCCCGTCCTCTGCTTTCCAGAAACACTGACTGCAAATGCCAAAATACAAACGCCCCAACTGGGATCTTTCCAAGCTAAACCCTTCCAGGCTTTTCCAAATCCCAGGGAAGAGTTTGAACAGCTCTGTCCTCTTCCCCACAGAGGCCTCGTCCTCCCCAAAATCTGGGAGAGCTGCAGACAGCTGGGAACAGAGGTGGTGGAGGAGGAGGAGGGCTGAGCATTATTGAGGCCATTCCCAGCTCTGGCACATTCCCAAATCCCTCCTCCAAGCCATTTCTCACCCCAGGAAGTGCTTTGAAGCCTGTGCTCGACAAAAACCCCACTGCAGGTCGGTTTTTATAGGGAGTAAATCAGAAATAGGGACCAGCAGCAGAAGCTGCTCACAACCCCGGGGCCCTTGGGATTTACCCTGGGGGCTGTGGGGAGTGGAGGGTCAGGATAAAACGTGGGATAGGCTCTGCTCAGGGGATTAAAATAAAATAAAGAGTGGTTTAGAAACAACTGGAGCCGGTGCTGAGCAGACGAGCAGCCTCCTGGCCGGAGGTGGGTGGGCATTTTTGTTATCTCTAGTGGAATAAATAAATCCAGGCCGTGCTTTGAGGCGGGATTTGAGCAGATTCCTGCTCAAATTCATCAGGAAAAATGGGCTGTGAATAGAAAAGCTCAGCCCCCAAAAGCCTGGAAGGCCATGGAGAGAAATGAAGGTGTCTGAGCCCTCAGGGGGTGGGCAGGGAGGAGCGGATCTGCCTCTTGCAGGAGCCGGAGGAGGGTGTTTATCCTGATTTCAGCTTTCCCTGCCCAGAGCTGTGCTGGAAGTTGTCACTCCCTGTGGTGGCCAGAGGGGCTGTCCCTGCTCAGGGACACTGTTTATGCAAGGCCCAGACTGCCTTGGCCTCCCCTTATCCACAGTTTCTTATCATTGTGATAAAAAGAACACAATAAACAATAATAACGATGCAGGAAAAGCCAAGGGGAGCCGGGAGGAGGGAGAGGGTTTAGGCCAGACTTTTGCAGAGGTTCTTTCCCCATTTCCAAAGCCCAGCTGGCTGCATGCTCTGCTCCCAGTGGAGTTGAATTTCAGGGTTTGCCCCCTCCCCAGGGTGAGGAAGAGGAGGGAGAGGGAGCTTTTGTTGCCCCAGGATGTGCTCACCTCATGGAGGTTCAGCTCCTTCACCTTCTCCTTGAGTATGACCTGCAAGGCAAAGAGCTGGGGTCAGGACAGAGCTTCTGCCATCAGCATTCCCAGGAAAAATCTCCACAGAGGGACCCCACTGAGTGTCCCAGTAGAACTGGAAACCCCCCAGTAAACCTAGCACAGCCAGGGGAGCATGAGGGGCCTGTGCAGGGACAGGAGGAGGGGAAAGATAAAACCACAGGGACCAAATCCAGGAGGTTTCCTCCCAAATTTAACCCTCCTGGGTTACCACTTCATTTTCCCTCCATCCAAGCTGAGCACCTGGAGAGGACTATAAATGCAGGACATCTGTGTGCTTTCAGCCCAACTCCACCCAGCTTCCTGCATGGATCAAGGGGTCAGAGGCAGAAAATCCCACAAATCCTGGAGAAAACAGGATGTGGAAGCAGCAGCCTGACAGCCACCTCTGGGCTGTGTCTATTTTAGTTGGTAAGTGCAGGTGGGTGCAGGGAAGAGCTGGGCTTGCCATGGAGCTGCTCCCTGGAAAAGCCCTGTGGATTTAGGGATTTGGAGCAGCCAAGTTCACCCCTGGGAGCAGATCCAGACCCCATAAAATGTGAGTTTGGTGACTGGGGGAGCGATGGCATCACTGCTGTGCAGTGGGTGAGGATGGAGTGCTCCAGAGGTGGAGATGTTCCCACTGCTCAGGACCTCAGTGGAAAACTGGGAGACTTGTGGATGAGCAGGTGAGGGATGGTCCTGGGGGGCCCAGCTGGTAGGGGACAATAAAATCAGCAGGGACAGACTGGCCTAGGTGTTACAACTGCCCTTTGTGGGCCAGAAACCTCCCAAGGAGAGGAACAGCACGAGGAAAACTGATGGATTTGGCACTAGGGAGAAGGGAAGGGAATAAAAACTTAGAGGATCATCTCACCTGTTTGTAGGCGTAAAGCTCTTTGTGTGCCTGATGCCTGAGCCTGCAATGAAACCAGGGAGAAACATGAGGTGAGGCAATAAAAATCAGGATTATTGTAATACCTCAAGCATTCCACTTCCCTCCTTTCCAGCTTTAACATGTTATCTTTTACATTTTTGAATTCAGAAATGAGAATGGCCACAGGAAATGACATGTTTAGGCAACACCCAGCTTTCCCTGTCGCTGGCAGGGCAACGTCTCCATCCCAAAGCACACAACTCCTCCCTTATCCCTCTTTTGACCTCCCTGATTTTCCAAGCAGGCATCAACCACAAAGTTAAGACCAGAAAAAGTGGGTGAGGAAATCACAGTCTTCCATAAATCCCCTCAGTTTCCAACCACTTCTGCTGGCAACAACTCCCAACACGGAATGCAGCACCGTTTCTCAAGGCATGGGGGTTCAGACCTGAGGAAAGCCCTGCTCCCACTCCAGCAGGGACAGGGAAGGAGACTCCCTGCCCAGAGGTTTCCCACCAAAGCCCTCATCACGCTGCTTGGGTGACACTGGGTTCCTCAAACTCAGCTTTATCCTCAATTCTAAGATCAATCAAACCACATCCACTCCTGGAGCGAAGTGAGAGATGGAGATGAATGGGATGGGCCTGTTCCAAGAACACCTGCTGCAGTGGGAAGTCCAGCAGGAACTTTAGGCCACGAGCAAAGTGCTGGTTCCATCCCCTCCCTCCACAGACTCCCCTCTCCAGAGTCAGAGCCAGCAGAGCACTCCACAGGCATCTGCTGGCTGGAGAAACCCATTATGGTCCTAAAATAAATACACTTAAAATTAAAATAACCAATATTGCCTCTCATTACCAGACATGGCATTTAATAAACTGCTTGGAAAACTCAGGAGGGAAATCCCTAGGGCTGAAGAGTTGGCCAAGGACTTTCAATACAGAGTCAATGTGTGGCTGCAGGGCTTGGAGAGCTGTAGGAATATTTTCCTCAGCCAGCCCCAAGTGATTTCAGATGGGAAACCCCCTTGCCTGGAATTTCTATTCTCCAAAAATATTCTGAGGGTGTCTGAAATCCCTGACTGCTTCAACCTGAGCTCTTGGGGGTTTTCCAACCCTGCCACGCTGCAGTGGGGGAGTTATAAAAATGGGATGGAAAAAGATTTCCTTATGTCTGACACCCTCCCCAAAAATGTTAAAAAATAGAAGTCGAGGGATGGGTAAAAATGCACCTTAATGGTGCAAGGAGAGATGCAGAAAGTTGGTTCCTCAGTCCCAAATGTCACAGGGAGCCATCCCTCCTGCTCCAGCAATGCTGCCTGGCAGGAACCCGCCTGCCACAGAAAACACCGGCAGGCGGGGAGGAGGAGGGGAGGAGGAGGAGGAGGAAGAGAAGGAGGAGGAAGAGAAGGAGGAGACAACTGGGGTCTCATCCCTCTGGCAGTGACCCTGAACAGAAACATGAGCAGAAGATGCAGGAACAATGGAGAGAACAGGATGAAACCAGCCCAGCCCGCAGGGAGCCGGTGGCTGGGAAGGCGGTTATGAAACACAGATGGGGAGAGCGAGGCGTGTGGCTGGAGACACAGGCAAGGGAAAACTCGCCTGGAATGGGAAGCACCAGGGGAAGCTCCCTTTGTGTGGAGCACTGAGTGGCCACCAAGGGTCTGGTCCCCGTGAGCCAAAGCCACTGGAGCAGCTTGGACCAGTGGTGGGGAAGAAGCGACCAGCTGGCTGTGGATCTGCACAGCTCCGTGGATCTGCAATGCCTTGGGCTGGTGCTGAGCTAGACAGGGGGGTTTTCCCAAAAAAACTCCTCCCTGGAGGGTCTGGGGAGCAGCACGAGCACAGCTGGTGCTGAAGCGTGCGAGCTCAGCCTGCTCCTCCTTGCCCTCTGAGCCAGATGGATCCTGGTGGGATCTGGTCCAGCTGTGGTGAGGAGACCCTGGATCCTGGCAAGTGCTATTCCCTGTCGGAGCTGGCTCCATCCAACTCGAGTCAAGTGCTGTGACTCCCAAGGAATTCCTGGCAGATGTCTGACCAAGATAAGGGACCGCACAGTGCCTGGCTGCTGATCCTGTGTGCTGTCACCCTCCCTGAAGGAACAACCAGCTCTCCTGGGCTTGGGATCTCTTTCCACAGGAGTGGGAGTTCCCTGTTTCTCTGGGTGACCGAATCACCTCAGCAAGTGAACAACAATGGGGATACAATGCAGAAGAGAATTTTTTTGCAGGTTTATCTCTGAGATTTCCATATTAGATTCTTTATAGTAGAAGGTAGAAAAGTCCTGGGCACTGGCTTTTAATCCCATCATTGTGTTGCTGTCCCCAGCTCAGCCAGGCTCCTTGGGCTCTTCATGGCATCACAGAATTGTGTGGGTTGGAAAAGCTCTCTAAAATCATCCAGCCCAACCATTCCCCCAGTGTTGCCAAGGCCACCACTGACCCATGTCCCCAAGTGCCACATCCACATGGCTTCTAAACCTCTGCAGGGATGGGGACTCCAGCACTGTCCTGAGCAGCTGTGCCAGTGCCTGACCATCCTTCAGGCAAAGGAATGTTCTCAATATCCAATCCAAACCTCCCCTGGCCCAGCCTGAGGCTGTTCCCTCTCCTCCTGTCCCTGTTCCCTGGAGCAGAGCCCGACCCCCCGGCTGTCCCCTCCTGTCAGGAGCTGTGCAGAGCCACAAGGTCCCTCCTGAGCCTCCTTTTCTCCAGGCTGAGCCCCTTCCCAGCTCCCTCAGCCTCTCCTGGTGCTCCAGACCCTTCTCTACCTCCATTCCTTTATCTGACCACAAAATCCAACCACTGTGTTGGATCCTGGCAGGTCTGAATGATGAAGGAAACAAGCCTATAAAAAAAAGAGGCTTTTTAGGTGCTGTGTACCCTGAGCCTCCCAGAGACTTTGAGCTGCTGCAGGTTGGGCAGGGATGAGCCCTGGATGAGCCACAGCAAAGCTCAATTTGAGAGAGGATGCTGCAGACTTGATCCACAGCAAGGGTGGCATTCAGTTCAGCATCCTTCTGGATTGGGTTTTATGGGAGCAAAGGAAACATGAGTATATCACTTTCATTAATTCTCCAGAGATCAGACACGACCACCTGCCTGCAAAATCTCATTTCTTTGTTCTTCCTTTTTGATCTGTAATTTTGCTGAGCAGAGGCAGCAGCCATGAGGGACCTGAGCTCTGACCAGAGTGGTCTGCAGCAGCAGAAGAGCTCAAGGTTCACCTGAACACTGCACAGGCAATGAAGATTTTTGTTGTGAAATTCCTACTGGACTCTTGCTTTGAGCCAATCCAATTAAAAAATGTCACTTTTCCTTCCCTTGGAGCGGGCAGCACAGCACAGCCTGTATTGACACAGCTGCAAAGCACAGCCCATGACCTCTCTTTCCCCAGAACATCTTTTATTTAATGCCATCAGCTGTGTGATTTGGGATGAATACACCTGATATTGGCTCTTCCACACTCATACCCAGGTGGGGATGTGGGGAGAGCAGCAGGGACTGCTCTGATCCAGAGCAGAAAATGAGAACCAGGGCCTGAGAATGGTGTCATAAGCCTTGCCTGGTGTTTGCCTAATATTTGGAGATGTGGCTATATGGGAAAGGAGGGAGAGGAAGGGGTGTGTTGATGCTGCACCTATGGGAAAGCCAGGAGCTGCTGTTACCAGCAAAGAACCCCCATGGATGGAAGCAGAGCCCTGGAGCTCTGGAGGAGACCACCCTGTCCTTCTGTTGGTCTCTCTGCCCTTGCAGGTGGGTGGTCCTCATCCTGTTGTCCACCTACAGCGCTTCCCAAACCCCACCAAAATTCAGACTGTTATATCCCAGATGAGCTGAGATTACAGAGCAGCTTCCGTGGAGGTGGATGCTCCTGGGACACTGGCACAGCTAAAACCCACAGCACAGCAAAACCCTCCCCAGTGCGGGCTGGAGGATCCTGTTTTGGCTCTGTTCTGCCAATAAAAGAGCTGAAGGAGGAGGGCTGAAGAGCCACTTGTAGAGTCTCTCTAGGGTTTTGGGCTATAAAGGGATCACTGGATGACCTAATCCAACTCCACATCTATCATGGGTTGCTAAATAGCACCTCAGGAACAGGAGCCAAAACGTCTCATCCGGAAAGGTCTTCGGTCTTGATTTAAGGACGTGAGGAGACGGAGGACTTGCCACTTCCTTGCTGGCTTCTCTCACCGGTTACTCACCCTCTCTCTCTTACAACACGCCTCCAGCTTCTAAATTTAAAGATTTTCTGGCTTGACCTTCCAGACATTACTCCTTGTTATTCCTTCTTTGGGGCATAACACACCCAGTGAGTGCCCAGGAAAATACTCTCAAAGGCCAAACACCTCTGCAATTTTCTAAGTGAGCCATATAGACCCAAGCTCCACCTGAGCAAAACAACTCCTTGAGCTCTCTGAACACCTCAGGTCTATTTTCATACACATTCAAAACATAATTTTTATAATTGTGGGAAAAAAAAAAAAAATTAAGATATGATACCCAAGCAGCCCAAATCACCCCTCAGTAAACCTGGTTTTGGGCTCATCTGTGAGGTTTTGCTTCATACAGAACTGAAATTGGGTGGAAATTATCAAGTATTTAGAAGGTTGACATTGAAACCTTGCTTCCCTGGTCTACAAGAGCAGGATAAAATATTTTCAACACCCTCTGGATAGAAAACCTGGTGGGACTGGCTGCTGTGGTGCAAAGAGAGACTGGGTACCTGTTTTTACAGGAACACAGGGAAGGGATGTGATGGAAGCACAGCTTGCAGGGTGCTGGGGCCAGCTGGAAAGACAGAGAGGAAGGAAAGGGGATGGAAAAGCTGGAGAGAAGAGCTCTGGGAATGCAGAATTTTGGCTATCATTGCTGGCAGAATGATGACCTCTGCTCCCAGGCACAGGTTGAAGCACAGCCAGCCACCCATCTTAGGTTATCAGCCCAACTCATCTCCATCACCACCTTGATTCTCAGGCACTGTGATTTTTCCCCACTTGCCTCATTTTCCCTCTGTCAGGAAGAGCTTTTCCTCTCAATTAGAAGCCCAACAATCTCCCCAATGGCCCATAAAATAATTAAAACAAGCCCCAAACTGGAACAACCTTTAACCCTGCCATCCTGCTCCCCTATTGCTCAGATTAGCACATCAACTCTGCATCATTAATCTCCAAACTGTGCTGTTGAAGGAGCAATTTGTGTTCAATAACCAACGGAGCAGGTATTAAACATTCCTCAGGCACGCAGGACACGAGTTACTCATTACAGAGGGAAATGTGTTGAAACATTAAGCAGAAAGCAGGGACCATGAAACATCCCTTTCCAGGTTTTCTGAGAAGCTGACCACAATTCCATACCTTTATTAGCAAATGTGTATCTCCTGGTTTTAAGTGGATAATGTGACTGCTTTGTGGCACATCAGGCTGACATAAGATGTGCCAAGGAAATTGGTGGTGCCAAGGAAATAAGGTGCTGCCATCCTCTTTTTGGGATGGAGGGATCACTGATGGGCCTGGAAGCAGGGAAGCTCTTGGGGAACATTCCCATACAATATTCCCTTACCTGATCAAGTAGCAACAGAAGAGCAAACTGAGGATGAAGACGAAGATGGCTGTGCCGAAAACCACGATGTATATGTTGAGAGGAAGGTTCTGGAACCCGATGTTCGGCATCCTGAAACTGTAATGCTGGAAGTCTGAGCTCATGGGTAGGCTGTGGAGACAGGGAGAAAACACATGGATGTGACATTCCTTAGGGATGCACTTTGCAGACCAGCGGTCCCCTGAATGGATATGGAGGGGGCTGGAGATGACTTCTCACTCATCCCCCCCCATCTTTGCCCAAAACCAAGTTCCCATCTTGGTAACCCTGAAAACAAAGCAGGGCTGCATCAGCTGGGGCTGGGATTTTCCTTCTCTCACTGTTAGCTTCTCCTCCAGCTCTTTTCCTTTCACACATCATCCTTCAAGTTAAAACACTGGATGAGACTAACAGCAGGAATTGCATCCAAGCAGCCCCAGCTGCAGCCAGCATCCCTCAAACCCCACAGTAACTTGGTAAAAATACTGAAAGCAGCCAGGAAGCCTTGGAGCAAGGCAAGTTTGCCTTCCCTGCCTCTCCAGTGGTTTCTGACTCCTCATTCCATAGAAATCCCCCACCAAAGTCATCAAAGATGAAAAGGAAGAAGACAAGGACATTCCCAGGACACACAGCAGTGACGCTGAGAGAAATTATGGGGAGACTATGGACTCTGTAAAGGAGACTTTGTTTGTTTTCCCATCTGAGACAAAGGTTTGGTGGTTTAAGAGCACTTCTGCAGGTTTCAGCTTTACTCCTCAGCACAGCCCCAGGCTCCTTCCCCCCAGGAAAGCCCCGAGGCCAAGAGGAAGAGGCAGCAATTTTGGCTGTCATGTCCCACGTCTGGGACCCGTGACCAAAACCTCCCTCCCCTTGGAGAACCCCAATTAAACCCCGAGCAGCTGTCTGGGATAACGATTACAGCAAATCCTCTCCCCTAGGATTTTAATTGCTCTTATTTATTATCTCTTATCTTCCTATCATTCTCTGAACCGTTCGCCCTCAGATAATCACAACGGTTGCTGGCCAGGCATAAAGTTCCCCTGCCCCCAGCTTAGAAAAGGAAGTTAAAAATACACCTTGTTTTCCCTTCTGCCCACGGGAGAGCAACGTGCAATGAAGTTTTACAAGCAAGGAAAGTACCTGCAGTCTGAGCCCTGTTTCCCAAATAAAATCACCGAGGGATAACAAAACCCTCCCCTGGAGCGGGGAGTTTTCCACGGCGCAGTAATTGCACAGCTCCTCATTTCCTCATTTTGCACAGGGTGGGAAGACAGTGGGGAAACCGCAGGATCTGAACCCGCACATGCCAGGGAGCGATGCTCCAAAATCCAAGTGTCCTCTGAGAGTCCCTTCAAGCAGCATCCTCACTCCCAAATCTCCTTTCCCCCCTTGAGGCCCTTTTTTTGCCAGACCCTGTGGGGCTTTCCTCTGACTTCCCACGGGGAGCAGACTCACCTCTCATCCCGGCCGCCTCACCGGGACTATCCCCTTGCTGAAGGCAACATCCCTGCCAGCCCCAAACACCCGCCCGGGAGCCTCCCTGCTCCGGCTGCTTTCAGTTTCCTCAGCTCGCTGGAAGTTTCGAGGAGATTTCTGGTAAAGCCTGGATTTGATTAAAGCCTCCAGAGACCAACACGCATGTTCAGAACCTCTCCTGGCCAACGTGGAAACGCTCTGAGAGCTCGGGGAGCCGGCACATCCCCCTGCCAGCGCTGGTGGGGATGGGATTTTATAGCCCAGCAACCACCCAGCAGCTCACGCTCCTCCACCGACGCCTGTTCCGCTCAGCTGAGCTGTTTTGCTTTGCAAATAAATTTTAAAAAGCCCAATCCAGCCCCCAAACCTTTGTTCCCAGCTCCGGCGGAGTTAATGCGCAGCTCGGCGGCGCAGGGCTGGGTTTGGGTTTCAGTCCTGCTGGGTCAGAGGGATTTGGGATGGGTCAGGGGCTCCCCTCGGTCACGCTGGTGGCATGAGGATGTTGCTGACCCACCAGTGGTTATCAGCTGATAATCACTGCCTTTGGCCAAGGCTGGCTGCCTCTAGTTCCTCAAACCACCCCAGAGAAAACTCCTCAGTCTGGGAAAGCTCCAGGTGACTTTTTTGCAAGGAAGGAGAAACAACTTTTGGAGTACAGGTAACAAAACCAACCAGCACTGGACTGTAGCTTTTCTTTCCTTTACAACTCTTTTAACTTGTGATGCTCTTCTCAGCAATCCCACTACGCCATTCTGTGGGTAAGGAACATCCAAGGCTGCATTTGGAGCAGCAAATCCCATCAAGCCAGAAAAATTCTTCATGCTTGTACACATCTGAGCTGTGCTGCTCTTGCACCAGTCCCCACATCCATGAGCACAGCTAGGAACCATCACAGCCCTCAGCAAATAAACAATCAGCAGAAACAGAGCTCACACCAACCCCCAGCATCCCACTATCCTCTCCAATGGAACCATTTCCCTAATATTTTGCTCCAAAAGGATGTCAGAAATGCAGCCATGACCTACCTGCCAGCCATGTCGTGGGGGCTCAGCCTCCTGGGGACAGCCTTTCTGTTCCCTGCGGTGCAAATCCAGGGAATCCCACACCAGATTCATCCAACCCCTGTGTGAAATAACCTTCTCCACCTTGGAGCTGCCCTGGTCCTCCCTCCCTCCTGCTGCAACAGCTGAGAAATGTTACAGCAAAAAGCACTGAGGTTAAAGGGGAAAAATCAGTTGGTCTGCCCAGGATCCAGGAAACTGTTAATTTTAAAAGACTCCAGTGAAATCTGATGACTTGAAGCAGCCAAGCTTTGGTTTTTTTTTTTTTTTTTTTTTTTTTTTTTTTTTTTTAAGGGGAGTGGGGGGAGGAACTGTATTTTAAGCTGCTTCGGATTTTCAAGGGCGCAGCCAAAAGAAATAAAAAATGAGCCATAAAGAAGGATGAAAAGTTTCTGGTGCAGAACAAAAGCCTCCCTGTTGCTCTCTCCATAGTCAAGGCATCTCAGGGCAGGGAGATGATGCTTGTGGGGCATCCATGGCCCCCAGTAGGTCCCTGAAACCTCTCGGATGGGGGACACAGGCTGCACATAGAAAAGGGAGCACTGGCACAGCTTGTCCAGAGGAGCTGTTGCTACCCCTGCATCCCTGGAAGTGTTCAAGACCAGCGTGGATGGGGCTTGAAGCAACCTGGGATAGTAGAAGGTGTCCCAGCCCATGGCAGGGGTGTAGAACTGGATGGTCTTTAAGGTCCCTTCCAACCCCAATGTAATTCCATGATTCTGTGAAAAACAGCAAGGAACAATGGTTGCTTGTCCTGGGATGCAGAGAGCCACAAACGGCAGAACAACCTGAGCTCCACATCTCCTTCCTTACACCCTCCAATGACTCAGCAATGTGGGGCCAAGCAAATCCACGTTTCTCCAAGGAGGACAAAACCCAGCTTTAATTAAAAGCCAAAGCGCTGGTTAATGGCCCATCGAGCAGCCAAGGAAGGGAGTGTCACAGGTCATCGAGCTCCAGCCTGGCAGGGCTTTGATTACACTTGGGCTGTGAAAGGTAAACCTCACAGGGCCACGTCCCAAATTAATCCCCATTAGAGCCACAGCAAGCCCTTAATACTGGGGCCAACCTCGTACCCAGAGCATTCTTCAGGAGATCTCACAGGGATTAATAAAGGATGCAATTGTCTTCTCACAGGTAGAGAAACTGAGGCAGGGAGGAGGAGGGGAGTGAGGCAGAGCTGTGGTCCCTGAAGACAGGGGGTGACGCCAGGGATGCCACTTTAAGCAATGTCATGGGCTGAAAGCTGCAGATTTTTTGCTTTCCTGCTGCTTTGCCACATGGATTTGAACTGTGTGTTCCTTCTTGGGCTTTTATTTATTAAAAGGAGCTGCTTGTTCTTTTCTAAAATAATTGATTATTATTTATTTATAACATTAGTGCATAAAGGGGCCATGCATGTGCTGTGCATCCTCACACCTAAATACAGCACACATGCTGGGTGGAGCGGTGGCTTCTGCCTCTGCTGTTGTAAATAAACTCCTGTTTTTAGAGGGATTTTCTTTATGTTTTCAAGACAAACAACCTTCTCCACAGGGGTTCAAAGCAAATTCAGACTGAATCTCCTCAGCCATTAGCTGGATGGAGCTGGTGGTCTAGGCATCCCACAGGCCGGGCTGGCAAAGCCAACCCATCTCCAGGAAACACTGGGCTTCAAACACCCAGTGGAGCCAGACACAGGCAGGCCTGAAATCACAAATCTCAAGGAAAAGTGAATGCTAAGCCGTGGCCAAACTCCAAGCTGGAATATTTTATCGGTGGGAAAGGTTTCAAGCGGGCGTGAACGGCGTCTCAAGTTTCAAAGGCGTTTCGCAACGTGTTTCAGACAGGTTTAACCAAAAGCCTTATTAACTGGTTGAAAGTTAAACTGGGAGCAGCTGACAAGACCTTTCTGAAACAGCCCAAGCTGTGTTGCAAAGCAGGGTATTCTTCCATGGAATGATTCTACAGGAGGAAGGTTATTTAATGGCTATGACTAGTGGGATAATATTTAAAAGAGAGATTCTTCCAGGTGTTAAGAAGCAGCAGCCAGAAACGCCCTCGTTTAACTTGCAGGCAAAAATTCCCCCTCGTGGACCCCAAAAGCAAAGCGAAGCCCTGACCTCAAGCAGCTGGAAGGAATTTCCTTCAGCTCCGTCTCTGGAGCTGGTCCAGCGCCAGGATCCGCAGCGTGGCGATGGGAAAATCACAGGCAGCTGCAGAGCCAAACCCAAACCAGCATCGCTGTTGCTCCAGAGATGCCACACAGCTGCACCACCTTTGCCTGGCACGGAGTGCGGGGAGCTCCAGCCAGAAGTGATGGCCTTTGCTGTCCAAAACTGAGGAACAACAGGACTGAGCATGGGGGGGAAACAAAAACTCTTGGCATGATGCAATTTTAAAGAGCTACGATGCTACCATGGGGATGCCACATCCAGTGCCAGCTCCAAGCATCCAACCTGGCCCAGATCCTTCACTCCACAAAGTTGGCAGGGAATGGAGGAGCGTGAGGGATGGTGCAAGGCTTGGCAGGGTTGTTGATTAGGGAAGAAGGAACATCACAACAGGTCCCTCACACCGCAGGCAGAGCTGTACCGGGATCCAGCAAAGCTTGGCTGGGGTGATACAGCACCATCACAGCAACAGACAGAACTTCTGGGTGTCAAACAGTACAAAAAACCCATTTGTTTCACCCATTTTGGCTGCCTGCGGGCTTGGGGGTGCTGGTGGGTTTTTGTTGTGTGCCTGGATATTCAAGGAACCAAACTGACCTCCAAGCACAAGGCGCTTTGGACCTTTGCTCCCTCCTCCCTGAGAGCGGATCCAATGCTTTTTTTGAACGGGAATCAGGAAATTTCCTGGCTGTGTTCCCCAGCTGGCTGACACCAAACACAAAACCTTAACCCTCTCCACTGCCTCTGGGCAGGGGACACAGCAAGTGATGTGACAACATGACAAAGCAATTGGAAAAAATAGGGAAGCCTAAGGAAAGCAACATCCGGCATCACGACTGTACTGTTGCAATTTCCCGCAAGTCCTTCTGATTCTAGACAGTTGAAGAAACAATTAATCCCAGAACTTTAAAACTGAAGAGAACCTTTAAGTGGGAAAATGTTTTTGCTACCACTAGCAGAGAAATGTGCAGAAATGGGTCAGCTGCAGCTCCCATCACCCATGGTAAAGTCAAGTTCTTTCTCCCAGCGCTGTTGGAAAAGCAAACCAGAGGTTTGCTCAGGGCTGATTTTGCAAGTTCCAGGAAAACAGGCAAAAATAAATAGAAAAAAAAATAAAATCAATAGCATGATTTAATACAGTCTGGAGGAGGGGGAAGCAGAGTTTGGAGGAGAGCTCTGCTTGAGCTCCCATAAGGAATGAGAGTTGGGAATCACTTCCCAGGAGGGTTTGAAGCAGAGCTGGCAGCGGCTCTCTTGGAAAGGCTCACACGAGCTGCCCAAGGACAGCTCAGAGATTAAATAACACTTGAAGCATTTTTCCCCTTTGGCCCTGGGGATTTGTAATTTTTTCTCCCCCTTTTCCTGGCACACAGTTCCAACGTCACGACCTGGTGAGCTCACTCTTCCTCCCAGAAGTGTGGTGGGAAAGGATGTGCTGCTGCCTCCTCCTGCCCCCAGCCCTCTTTGTACTCCTGAGGTGAAAAGAGGAAGCAGGAGCCACCACTTCTCTTGATGGGCTCATGGTGGAGGGACACACATTATTAAATCTGGGTGTATTTTAGCCCAAAAAGAGCAATGAGAGCAGAGGCAAGTGGGAATAATCTCCCACCTTCATTTGTGGTAGGTTTTCCTTGTTCACAGTGTTCCCCAATGAACACAAACTGGAAGCTCCATGAGAAACACTCAGCCTACGCAGCTGAAGGGTCAGAGCAGGGAAATTGGTGTTAAACACTCCAGAGAATTTGAAAATTCCTGGGTGATGACACAGAGCT